AGTTTGATTCTCGGCGACAAATGGAATGGCCACGGAGAGCTTTCATGAAGATATACTTCAGTTTAATTATTAAATCCATTACAGTTCGTGGTCCGATTGACCAATTAACATTATTCAATTAATTATTTTATGCAAGGTTATTGGTTGAGATAAATGTCAAATAGATCACACGAGGATCAAATAGATTACCCGACATTTGAAAAATGGCAAAAAAGATGGAAAATTCAAAAGATGGGGTTCAGATGGGAAGTTAGTGTCTGAATGGATCGAAGTCACGATAGCTCAAGTGGTAGAGTAGAGGCGTATTTAGCCGAAGTCGTGTGTTCGAATCCCGCTCGTGACGCTGACTTTTTTATCTCAACCAATAACCTTCCATAAAATATTAATTATTGAAAAATGTTAATTGGTCAATCGGACCACGAACTGTAATGGACTCTTAAAAATATTCTTTTCTCCTTAAATACGCTCAGTTAGGGTGGTAGAGTACTCGATATTCCTCCATCACCCACTACACATATTTTATGAGGGCCGTTGGGGTACTCAATATTCCGCCATCAGTCCTCTTACGGCCGTACGAGATTGGCTATAAAGCATGTAAAATCCTCAAATCAATTGAATATTACAGACTTACTGAAAAGATTAAAATCAAAATATTTACATTTATTGTTTGGCAAATTTAACCAGTTTTTATGTAACCAATACAATAAAACTATTGAAATAGATTAGAAAAAAGGCCAAATTATTCTATAGTTTTAGTATAGTTCTCACTGAATGTTTTAATCAAAAGATTGTCAATAGTGACCAATAGAAATAATTCTATTAAAACCAAGTGAACAGTCCAAAACACGGAGAATAGACAAACCCAGTGATCAGCTCAAGAGCAGTAGCGATGATGTCTACTTCGCGATGATACTGCTAAACAGTTGAATAAGAACTTGAATGAAAATAAAGCCTCAAAATTCACTTTCAAGATTTTATCATTATAAGTAGAGATTTTTATTCAGTGAAAACAACAAAGTGAACTAAGAAATTGTTAATTAATAAGCCGTTTTTGTAATTTGCAATATTAAAACAACCAAAATAAAGAATACGGTGAAAATCAACAAGAATAGACCGACCCAGTGAAGTTATCAGTTCAACATGAGTTTATCATTTCGTAGACTAGCCAAAACCACCTAGTTATACCTAACCTTTAATTTCTTCATTTTAGATTTTTGGTCTGCCCATTTTCGCTGATTTGGTCTGGCAGTCCCAACAGTGAAGATTTCATTGAAAATTTTATGATTTGGAAAATTAAAACAAAAAGACGGTAAAGGATGAACACCAGCGAAAATAGACGGTCTCAATGTGTAACAATTTAAAAGACCCTTTGCATAAAACGGGCAAGTCTCGGGAAAAAGGACTCCCCGGCTTCTCACAGGGAAAGAAAATACTGAAAAATCGACCGTACAAGTTCCAGATTCTGATTCTGAGTGTAAGATTAAGGAACGTGCAAGAAAAATATTTCTATGCAAAATTATTTTTTAAAAACTATGTTGTGTCTTCTCCAACTGTCTTTTCTGGTTGAAGAGAGGTCCAATATTCCAACTTTGCCGTGGCCAAGATCGTAGGTGCCAGATGTACAAAAAAATCGTATACTTTAGAACGTTTATGGAAGATTTTTCTGGTGTTCCACTTAAAACTTACAACTAATCTTGATTTTATCTATTTTCCATGGTAGTGAGTGCGATACCAATCGGTATGAGTAAAGTATCGAGTATTTTCAAGTACTTTTGCTATCGAATATTGCCATTAGATACAAATACTGTATCGAGTACTTTTTAGAGTATCGTGAAAAATACTCAAATAGATTTTTCATCGAGTGTTCAAGTAATATTGAATTGTTATTTTCCGTTCGAAACTTACCTTTTATCAAACTGGGAGTTGACTAAGTACTGTTAGGAGCGCTTACAAGCGGCATGTGACACAAAGTTAATCGAGATTTTGAATTGATGGTTAACTCTGCTGATAATTCTGATAACTCATAATTCTTTCCCGCATCGCACCTCGCACTTTTAATTTCAGCAATTTTTTGTAAAATGTTTTGTCTCCAAGTACGTAAAAGTATTCGCCTTCCTTCTCGTACCTAATCATGTCTCCTCCCAAAAGTAAGGCGTAAGGTTATTTTACTAAGAAAACTGAATTGACAGCATCTTGCAAACTGTGCGGGAATACGTCTAATCTTTCCAAACATTTGAAAAGAAAACACCCGTTGATCAATTTTCTCCAAACTCGATAATGATCAAATTGATTGAAATATCAATTTTGTCGAAATGTGTAGACAGATTTTCCTTGATCTTACCTACGCACCCTCTGTATGAAAAAATACTTCAAAATATGAAAAAAACTGCAAATTTTTTTTATTTTAACGTATTTTACTCACGAGTCGATAGCGAATAAGTCGATCATTTATGAATAAACGGCAAAGCACTCGTGTAAGTACTCGTTAGTATCGAATAATTTCTCTCGCTACTTCAGTAGTATTGAATATTTCTTTCGATACCAAATCGAGTACTGGCATCGACTATTTTCCGGTATCGCACGTCACTAATTTTCAGAATTTTAAGATATTCAAACAAGTATAACGTTAATTTTGTATTGTCGAATTGTCGCAATCTTTGAACCATTTAGGCGTATTTCAATAGAAACCGCTTTTTGGTTTTTGCCAATATTTCCAATTTTCACCCAGTTAGTCGTTTTATTTAACGGCAATTGAACATCCGGGTGAAAAATCTACTAGAACTTTTCCTCAACTTTAACCCCGGCCGTTGTTCCTTCAGAACTACCATTTCCGCGAAATGGCACACCGGAACTAACAGCAGGCCTATAAATTATGTCTAACAACCTTATAAAATGGCCTGATATTCCGATGTTTGAAAAGTAATTATATAAAATTAAAGAGTAAAGTTTTACTTGTTTGGTAAAGAGATAATCTTTTTAAAAACCCAGATTAACCGAGCAGCGGCATAGCTCTATTCAAAACCTGTTTTCATTATCATTTGTCATTAATTAAAAGCTCTAATTTTTCTCTGCGGCAATTCTTAATAAACAATTTTCGCTGTCTATCAAGCTTTTTCGTTATGCAGAGAAAAAATAAAAAGATCGAAACATTTCAGCAAACATTTAATTACTGAGAAATATCGATTGAAACGTTTATCGAGAGATATTAACAGAAAATGCTTAGCTTGCGTCTTCTCTCCCTGGGGTGATTTACCTTCGCCTGAACTACTTATTTCAATTTAATATAAAATAAATACTAATTAAAAATGTAAACGTAATTTTAGTTTTTGTCTGTTAACCCTTTCAGTCGTAATTTTTTGTTTTTTAATTCAATCTTTATAGAAATCCCCTCCCCCCCGGGGGTTTCACATTCGTTTTCTTTTTACAGTCGTTAACGAAAGTCTCAACTTGAAAAGGAAGCCCCTCGGCTGAATGGGCCACCAATTACGAAAAGTATTGCGTTTACACGTGACCGCTATAATGTTCCATAATATGAGATTTCACTAATATCGGCCATTATAGCGTAAGAAACCAGTTTTTATTGTTTATTGAGTAATATCTTTTTTAATGGTCCGAATCTGTTTTAATGGGTACGACAATTTTCTTCTAGGATAATTTCCTTCAGGAAAAATCTTATTTTTACCCAGTCCCAGAAAGCAAAATTACATTTTTACCACTCATATTCACTCGCTTTTTCAGAATTGTCCATTTCTGAAAAAGCGAGTGAATATGAGTGGTAAAAATGTAATTTTGCTTTCTGGGACTGGGTAAAAATAAGATTTTTCCTGAAGGAAATTATCCTAGAAGAAAATTGTCGTACCCATTAAAACAGATTCGGACCATTAAAAAAGATATTACTCAATAAACAATAAAAACTGGTTTCTTACGCTATAATGGCCGATATTAGTGAAATCTCATATTATGGAACATTATAGCGGTCACGTGTAAACGCAATACTTTTCGTAATTGGTGGCCCATTCAGCCGAGGGGCTTCCTTTTCAAGTTGAGATTATATCGAAAAATATAATAATTGATTAAAAATATTTGAACCTTTTTAAGTTTAGATTTATCTCTTGTACTATCAAGTCTGGATGTTTACCATTTTAAGAGACACCCTTAGAGGTATGGATGACTTTTGAATTTTATATATCGTATACGTAGTTAAAATTAATTTCTTTTTTTTAAAGATTTTTTAATCCCCCCCCAAACAACGAAATGCTCAATATTCCCATGCTTTTTTCTCTCTTTCAATCTCCCTCTTTCCCTCTCTCTTTTGTGAGCATCGTTTTCTTTGTAATTTGGTCGTTATCGATCAATTTGGCCTGATTATCATTGGTGTAACTGTCAGACGCGTTTGGCAATCTCACATTAGTTTTCTTTATCAAAAACAATGATCCCAATTGAAGAGCGATGTGTAATGAAGTGAATTTTGTCATGAGCAAAATACAGTTTATTTTAAAAAAAAATCTATACTGAAATGTGAAAAACATTTATACTTTATATATCTATACTTTATACAACAATAATCAATTTCATAGGTATCCTGCCTGCGTTCCAATTTTTTTTTTTTTAATTGAGTCTGTTTGTAGTACAACAACACTTCTTGAAACAAAGTTTTGTTGTGTTATCGAGCTTCACTGAAAATCTAATGGTACGGTGCACCCGTTTATTTCTGGAGCCCTCTTTGTTCCGCTTGTTTCCTATTTTGGGTTTGAGTGCTGCTTGAATCACTTAGTCTTTATCGAAAGAGCCGAAAGAAATATCTCAGCTGCACATGCACCCCGTTTGAAAATAACAAGATAATTTCCAGAGAGCAGTCGCTATCGATTAATTTTTTCCAACCTCCCGCCCGGAAGGGAAAAAAGACGTCGAAAAAACAGACCGGAGGGAAAAACTTCCTTCGCTTTGAACTTTGTCAATTGGTTTATTGCGTCGGCACTAAAACGATAAAAAGCACTCACCCTCGGTGGGAAGTTTTGCTGGGTCGGCGTGTGCGCAGGGATCAGCTTCGACTGATCCTTGTTTTTCGAGGGGCTCTGCGGAGGACTCCTCGGTGGCGTCGGGGGCTGAGATCCTTCAGGACTCTTCATCGGCTGCTTCTGTAGGACAGGAGCTCCTCTTCGCAAACTCTCCAATATTTTACCTGAAAAAATCAAAATTGAGAAATATAGTAAAATAATAATCAAAAAAATTATCGATTTTACGGTCTGAAGACCTACATCAATCAAAATATTACCTACATTATATTTCTCTCTCTTTTTTCTCCTCTACAGCTCTTCATAAATATTAAATATGACAATTACAAGGAGAAACATCTATTTTAATTCTATAATAGGCTTGGCCTCAAGTTTATTCATAAAATAGGAATCATGGTGATTAGTCGAGAGTGGGGCTTGCCTGTTCTGAAAGGACGTGGGGCCGTTTTGACAACGACGACTTATAAACACGAAGTGGGCATAATTTATGCGCACCAGACATACCGCTTTTAACTCTGGCAGGAGAGAAATTAAAGAGATCTAAAACTGAATACGAGAATTTCATTCTCTTCCTTGCAAGGATGTTTTAAATACTGATTAAACGTTGATGCTGACATGATGAATTTTCTCATCTAGGAAAATAATACTTAATGAAGTTCTAAACATATAAATCTTCATTACCATTAGAAGAAATGATCAAATACGATCTAAATTTTAGTTTTATCTAGTGAACTTTCTAACAGGATCTTCCTCTGATCAGGATTCAACTCAGGGCAGTTACAGATTTACAGATGTACTGTAGGTTCATTTTCTATGAATGTAACACCTCATCAGGAAACACTCAAAATAAAGGACAAGAACACATTGGCCATCCTACAGTCTGTAACAGTATGGAAAACCTCTGAATAGTAGAAATGTCAATTTTTTTGTATTTTTCTTTGGCACAATAAACGATATCTAAGTATTAAAAGGACCTCTAATTATTACATTAATGATTAATTGAATTGGAATGTTTCGGTAAATTTGTTTACTTCTCCCCACATGCAATTTTTAATTTAATTTATTTTTTATTGTTTTACGTAATTTTCGAGAAAAGGTATATTAACTAGGATAGAAAAGAATACTGAAGAAGAACTATAATTCACTAAACAATTATAAACACTAAGACCGATAAATATAGTCTTTTTTCTGAAATAGATAGTTCGTTTGAAATAGTTTTTCTTGATCTTCACATCTCTGGTGTTTTCAGTCTAAAATTTTTAATTTAATCGACTCCAAAAGGTGGACTTAAAAAAAGAAAAGAAGTGCTTGATTCTTACGAAAAGTTTGGGAGACTTAGTGTGAGATTATCAGCTAATAAAATTGAGTAAAACGCTATAAGGGAAAATGTACCAATAAGTCATTAAAAATGTACATTTAAATCTACTCCTCAAATTTAGTATCTAGATGTACAGATGCAAGCAGCCATGTGTTATCAGATGATACAAAATCTCTTTTGGAGGTGTCCTCTACCTCTCAACTACAATTTACAAGTGTTAGGATAAAATTATACATTTCTTGCGTTAAAGTTGATAGTTTTGTAATAAAAATATAATAATAAGGAGAATCTAAATAAAACATCTAAGAAAATGTAATTGTGAAGTTTATTCATACTGTCTGCGAGGTGGTTCGACTGAAATTTGATTTTATCGATTTGTTCTGCCTCTTCTAACACTGAGGATAATCAATAACGACCAGATTTTAAAGATTGTTTGTTAAAATTTTAGGACATTTTGGGGTATTTGATTAGATTATCATTACACTGACTTCAGCAAAGCTTTTGATAAAGATAACCGTGAACTTCTCTGCTCTAAGCTAGAAGCGATTGGTCTTCATGGGGCCTGCTGGAATTGTTGAGAGATTTTCTGATGAACAGAACTCAAATTGTAAAGATAGATAATATGGAATCAGAACCAATGTCTGTTACCTCTGGTGTTCCACAAGGTGGCCACATATCGCCTTTGTTATTTAATTGTTATTTAATATATTGTTAACAGTTTTACAAATAGTCAATTTAAGTTGTTCGCGGACGATCTCAAAGTATTTAAAATAATAAAATTTATTGAATTCTGTGAAATGTTACAAGACATAACTAATCTAGTCAGATGGTGGGATGTAAATTATACGACTCTAAATATTGATAAATGCAATGTTGTCCGTTATCATAAGAAACTTAGTCCATTACAATTTAACTACAATGTCTGTGATATAGAACTAATAGCTTTAAATAATATCAAAGGCCTAGGTGTAATTTTTGATTTCTCTCTTTCTTTTAGCCTGCATATTGAATCTATTGTTAATACATGTTTGAACCTACTTGGTTTCTTGAAAAAAAAATACGAAGGACTTTAATAGTATATTTTGTCTAAAAATATTGTTTTTTACTCCAGTAAGGCCACTCAGTAGACGATCGTAGATCATCTATTGATAATGTTTTTCTTGTAAAACTTCTAAGGAATATGATTAGTTGTCCTGAATTGTTAGAGAAGATACCTTTTAATGTATGATAAGATGACCGGATTCACTCCTTTATTCCTTATACCATTTTGTAAAACGAACTATCTAAAAAATGCTCCCATTCCTAGAATATGTACTAAAGCCAACAACTTAAATCTGGACTTATTTTGTTCATCTTTTATCAAAATTAAAGCTGTGTAACTTCACATACTTTGAGTATGTGTACTGTTGTAAAATTGGCTGCTTGCCGTTGATGTAATGACTAAATACATAAATAAAATAAATGATGACATCACGATATTGAGGATAGTCGTTTTTAAATTACCGAAATACTTTTTTTTTTTTTTTTTTTTTTTTTTTTTAAACGAATTTAACGGTAAAGTTTTGATATATTAGCTGTTATAGTCTATTATACGATAAGTGGTCGGGGGTCCGTGGGTAGGAAGCGTAACGGAAGGTTGCTCGATGACAGTACACACACGAGACTTCCTAAAAAAGGGAACCCTTGGGCCGTTTATATGGCTTTTAACCTGTCCCCTATTGAGATATGAGAAGATCAAATCGAACCCTACTCTTTTACCTTCTCAGTCGCGTTTTTTTTTCTTTAAAAAAAAGGACCCCCTAACAAAAGGAGCATCCCCGCCGCAGATAAAGCGGAATCCCGCGAGGGGAGGATCGAAAGAATCCCGACAAAAATTCACCGGCGGCAAGAAAAAAGGGGGGAAGACTTGTGAACTTTTACCTCCGCCGGGGTAAAAAACACTCGAAGAGTCTGGGAAAGTGTGTGAACGAGGGGTGCCGTGATGGGGGTAAAATCGAGTTTTGGGGTGAAACCGTGGGGTTAAACGGGCCCAAATGAGTTGATTGCCTTTGTGAACCGGTTCACGGTCGTTTGAACCCGACTAGGGGGGAGATTGCCTATACTCAGGTTAAAACTAATCCAAGATGACAAGTGAACTCATCCGATAACCACATATTTAGTCCATGTTCAACAACAGACTTTATCAAAACGACTGCTGGGGCAATCGGGTCACAGAACCGACCAACGTGCACAGCAACCCAACCTTCCAACGATCAATTACAAATAATAATCTTTTCAAACTAATAAAGCTTCATTTCTTTTTTTAAATATCCACAGTTTGAATAAGCGCTCACTAAAAATTTTTAGTTTATTCTGTTTATACACGCAGATAATGAAAAACTTGATAATTATATAAACAAGCTCACATTAAGATAGGATTTCAGTCAGAAACTTGTTAGTATGTAGATAGAATTTCATTTAAAAAAAACTGAAAATATTTGATTTCATTGTGTTAAAAAAATACATATTAAAATAAAAAGGTAGTTTGAGATGGGGAGTTGGTGGACGAGTGGATCGAAGTCAAGATATTTTAAGTGGTTAGAGCAGCGGAGTATTGAGCTGAAGTTCGTGGGTTCGAAACCTGCTCGTGACACAAATTTTTTTCATTTCAACTAATACCTTACATAAAGATTAATTAATTGAAAGACGTTATTTGATCAATCGGACAACGAAAAATAATGGGATTAAAATAAAAAGTTCGGAAATTCTTTACTGCATGTCTTTAATCTGCTTCACAGCACTTATTATTTATCCATTAAATATATGTATAGCTTTAATAATTATTTGAAAAAAAAAATGTATTCTCTGTTTGGTGAGGACAAAATGCTTTCATGGGAACACAGGATTTTATTAAGTTAAAAGAAACAAAGACATAACGGACACCGAACAACAGACAACAGATCTGTTTTATTAGAGAGGACATATGTTCTCCGAACAGCATTATATTATATATAAGGTTGTTTCTAATTAGGGATCGAGACTATTTCAGTTCAAAAAATACCATGAGAATGGAAGTTCGCAAGGCTTTGTCTGATCAAAGAAGGGCAGGGGTTGAAAGGACAGAGGGATAATCCTTTTTTTTGTGAATTTCCGGGTGGACAATCTCAATTAGAGTAATATCTGCCAGAATAAAGGAGGGGGCGATTATTTCCGGGCCAAGTGTCGTAAAAAGGGGTACTTGCCGATGTCGAAACTCGGCAGAACCGGCGTTGTTTGATATTAATAAAAAAATTGAAACGGAAGTTTTCCCGTCCTACGATGAAATTGTTTTATATTAAAACAATAAATTTTTCATCGGTACTAGGCGAAGAGCACGTGTATCGAGAAGTGGCCCCGGCTATTTGCAGAGGTGTCCCTTGACAAATCGACACGACGCCTGGGCACCGTCTAAAAAAAGTCAAAGAGAAGTAAAAGTTTGGCCACCTCTATCTCCTTGTTTCCCAGAGCCTGTGGCTTATTAGCCGGGGCAGGGCCTTAGGCCAACTCCTGTGGACGCAATTAAAAATCCCACAAAACCCCGACGACCGTATAAATCTTCTGCAGAGACAATGCCCACTACCATTTAAATTTATATCTCCATTAAAAATATCCTTTTCCTGTGGAATGCACATGTCGGCCTTTTTGTTTTTCTCCTCGGATTTTTTTTTCCTAACCGTCACGCTTTAAATGGTGTAGGACGTCTTGGCACTGGAGGAGGATTCTCGGTTGAAGATGATGATAACTCAAAATGTATGAAACGCCTTGGTTCTAATGAAGTGTTATATAAACAACCCACTAATTAACGTTAAAAACGATATCAAAGGTAACAGC